AGAGAGCATCGTTCATTAAACGAGATTTTTTCAGTCCAAGCCCACCATAATCTCGGGCTGTGCAGACATCAACGCATACATTTTAATTAAAAATGTATGTATAAGTAATCAACGCATACATTTTAATTAAAAATTTGCAAACAAGATATGCTGCTGATTGCTTGGCGAATCTTGCTCACAGCTGTCCTGACGGTTACCAACGGTTATTTGACCCACCATCAGTAGTCCTACCGTGGTTACAGCACGACCTTGTGGGCGTGTCTTACCCACGAAAAGTATTACCTGATGGTTCTAGGCTTTTGCCTCATTTGTACCAAANNNNAAAAAAAAAAAAAAAAAGAAGAAGAAAATTGCAAACAAGATATGCATCAATTGTTTCTGAATTTTTGTTACTCTTTTGTAATAAATCTTATTCTCTTTTCATAGATTCTTAATTAATTAAAATTTGTTAAAATCCCTACTCCATAAAAATTCTCCATATATAGGTGTTGTAGTATATTTCAAAACACCTCAAAAAGGGAACAAAATCCAGCTGAGAAAGACCAAAATCTTGCCAAATTAATCAATCATGAACACATAATATCACTTTCCTTCAAACTTCTTTGTCAAGAACGACTATAAAAGTTGGAGAAAGAAAAACCGAGCATTCAGGACATTGTTTTGTTTTAGAGCGTTTAAATAGTAAGCAGAGATGAGAATCAAATACCAAACATCTTTAATCATCATCCTATTTGTCCTGATTATTATAATGGTGTCTGCAATAGCAGAACTAATTGGGAACCTAAGTCATGTTCATGAAGAAGGATGCAACTTGTTTAGTGGCCAATGGATTTTTGATCCTTCGCAAACCCCTTCGTACGACTCCTCGACCTGCCCTTTCATCGATTCTGAATTCGATTGCTTAAAATTCGGCCGCTTGGATCGATTTTACCTCGAGTATTCGTGGAGACCTTCGTCTTGCAATCTACCTAGGTGTGTCATTAATATCTCTCTCTCTCTTTTAATTGATTCTATTTTCTTGATCCAATATTTAAGTGTAATAATTTGAACAGGTTTGATGGTGTACAACTTCTAAGAAGGTGGAAAGGAAAGAACATAATGTTTGTGGGAGATTCACTAAGTTTAAATCAGTGGAATTCTTTAGTATGTTTGCTGCATGCAGCAGATCCAAAGGGCAAGACATCCTTCGTCAGGGGTAACCCCATATCTTACGTAACGTTTAAGGTTAGAAAATTAATTTTAGTCATTCGTATTTTGAGGAGATGCTACGGTCCCGTATGAAATTATTTTATCGGGGTTTGTAACTGTTAGATCAACTATCTTCGATAGTTACATGATGATTTAACGGTTACAAACCCCGACAGAATGATTCCGTTACGGGACCGTAGCATTTCTCCATATTCCTGCCGGCTTATTCTTTGTCTCAAAACCAAACATATTTATTAGTTTTATGTTTAAAAAATCAAATTTTGTTAGCAACATGAGCTCACGTGACTAAATAAATATATCTCCCAATATATTAATTCAAAACGTGTTAGAGCCTAGCGGACTCAGCACGCTTTGTTATTGTGTATATTTGTGTAATTGCTATATTAGCCTTAGGTTCTTTTTAGGTAACTGTAGCCCTAATTTTGTGTATATATATTCATGGTTAATAGAATATTGAATCATCCGATTGAGATGATCTTTTCCACAGTTTCTATCGTCTCTTTCGTATCATGGTATCAGAGACATATTCGATCGTAATTTGTGTATATTTGTGTAATTGCTGTTGACATGGCGAATATATATGCTTCGTAATATTTTTCGTATATTAATTTTTGCTTTGAATTAGGCTTGATATTAGACACCTCAATATGAATAAAAAAAATATAAATAATATTTTTACCATTAAAGTCTCCACATGATATTTTAATTTTTTTTAGGATCTCAAATGATAGATTTTGCCTTTCAAGTCGTAGTTGACAAATATTTTTAAGCATAATCAATAAATATAAAATTATTTATTTATAAAAGATTACCGATAATTAATAATTATCAGTAAATATAAATTACTAATAATTAATAGATATAATCAATAAATATAAAATTATTTATTTATATTAGACAGGTGTACTAGTAAATAAATAAGTGATATGAATGAGAAAAAAATATATATATTTCCGAGCGTGCGTTTTTATAATAATATATAAAAACCTCTATCGTTCCGGCAAAAAAATAATAATAATAATAATAATTTGATATATATGCAGGATTACCAAGTGAGTGTATCTCTCTACACGAGCCATTACTTGGTAGATGTTGTCAAAGAAGCAAAAGGACGTATCCTAAAACTCGACTCAATTACACAAGGAAACGCTTGGAGAGGTATGGACACCTTGATATTCAACACATGGCATTGGTGGCCACATGTTGGAGATGCTCAAGAGTAGGTTTGTTTATTTATTTTTTATTTATATTTTTCTTAATTTCCTTAGTATAAATATATATATATATATATATGTATATATATATAAACTAAATAATATTTGAGAGTATTTGCAATTATAGTCCCGTACGTTTCAGTACCTTAACTTTTTCGTCCTTTTCGAATTGCTTAAAAAAATATCCTTTTCATATACACTACAAAAAAATAGAGTTCTAGTAAAAAAAATTTTGTCACTATATCTACTGTCAGTATATCTACAATTGTTATTACTATATCTACAATTATTGTCACTATATCTACAATTGTTGTAGATATAGTGACAACAACTGTAGATATAGTGACAACATAGTGACAAAAAAATTATTCACTAGAACTCTATTTTCTTGTAGTGACATAAGGGATGAAACTGGAAACTTTTTTGAGTAAATCGTAATTTTAGTCCTATATGTTTCACTACCCTAACTTTTTTTATCCTTTTCGAATTGTATTTTTTATTTTCGTCCCAAATATTTGCAAAAAGGTTACAAAAAAGGTCATTTTTGACATTTTTGTTGCGAAAAAAAAAATATTTTTGTAACATTTTTTCAAACATACTAGACGAAAATAAAAAAACGCAATTCGAAGAGGACGAAAAAGTTTAGGTAGTGAAACATACAAGACTGAAATTAGGATTTACTCAACTTTTTTTGCAAAATATAAAGGACATTTTTGTTGCAAAAATGATTTATTTTTTTTTTAAACTTTTTTTGCAAATATACGGGACGAAAAATGGAAAACGCAGTTTGAAAAAGGACACAAAAGTTAGAATGGTGAAACATACAAGACTAAAATTACAATTTACACAAAGTTTAACAATATATGATAATGATTATGGACATGCAGTTGGGACTTCATCCAATATGACTCCACCATAACCAAAGATATGAACCGTCTATTGGCATTCGAGAGAGGGTTGACCACTTGGGCTAACTGGATTGACCAAAACGTTGACCCTTCCAAGACCAAAATCTTCTTCCAAGGGATTTCTCCCAATCACTACAGGTCCTCTCTCTCTCTCTCTCTCTCTCTCTCTCT